CTTCAAGAACTTGACGTAGTGAATAGCCTCGTCGAGCATGGAAGCAGTGTCCATCTGGTCCCGCCGGGGACCAGCCTCTGGAGAATCTGATCCGCTCGCTTATCCTCTCGCGGCGGTGGCGCGCCGCCACGCTCTGTGGGTCGGTGGATATCTTGACGTTCTTCCTCTTCGGCGGCTTCACCGCCTCCGGGTCGATCTGGACCGGCTGCATCGCCGCAATTCTGAATATCATTTCCCTCATCGCAGCCATATTATTATTATTCGAGCTGTTCCGCTTCCCATGCCCGCCGTCGGATTTCCATCTGCCCCCGCCGCCGCCGCCGCCTGAACCCGGGTGGTGGAGATACTGCGCCGCCGCCGCCGGAGGGTCGTGGTGGGCCCCGCCGGCGGACGACATGCTGGAAGGATGCTGGTGATTGGCATAGAAATCAAGATTGTCGAAAATGGCGGCGGCATCTTCATCATCATAGGCATCGCCGGAAAAATCGGGGAGCTTGCCCATCTCCATAAGCATCATTTCCATGTTATCTTCTGCAGCAGAAAGCTTCATAAAGTCGATATCCATGGCTGCTGCTTCTGATAATATAGGAAATTAGAAACGTGTTCAAGCTGCTTGCAGCACAGTATATATATATATATATATATATGTATATATAATAGCGTGTGTGTGTGTGTTTGTGTGTGTGTGTGTGTGTGTGTGTGTGTGTGGGAGGAGAGATGAATGGAGGTAGGAAGAATGAAGCTATGGGGGGGAAGGTATATATAACAAGTGGCCGGCAACCCAATTATAGTATTTGTCCCAAATTAGAATTCTTGATGCAAAATACTATAAGATATTTATGTAATTATAATTTTATATTAAGCTGTGTGAAAAATATTTGTCCCTTTAATTTAGATTAGTGAACACCTAAAGTAATCATCTATATCAACTTTAGAGTTCGACTGTTTTGGCAGGCTTGAGTTCGCGAGGTCGGGTCCATTTTGTCGAACACGTTTTCCCAAGTTCATCGAATATCTTTTTTTGGCTTGAGCTGGAGCTGGAGCCAATTTTGACAAGCTCAAGCTCGAATTTGATTTTTTTTATTTATATTATAACAAGAAAAATTACAAAATACCTAATGAACTGTAACTTTATTTTTTCTTATAAATTTTTATATGTTCTTTATATATTATTATATATTATTTAAATAAAAAATAATACATAAAAAATAAAAAAAAAAACTAAAACCAAGGCATGCGAGACGGCTCGTGAGTTCACCAACAACTGAGAAAAAGCTCGAGTTCGACTCATTAAAAGTTCAAAAACCTCGAGTTTGAGTTTGATCTTTTTTCGAGTCGGTTCAACTCGTTTACCGCTCCTAATATCAATTGAGGTGTGTGTATATATATATATATATATATATATATATATATATATATATATATATATGTGTGTGTGTGAGAGAGATAATTCGAGAAACAAAAATAACAGAGGGAGAGTGAGAGGGGAGGTAAAGATTTGATGTTGCATAATGAGAAGAATTTGGCCGGGCCCACTGTACCAATGGCAGAGATCTAATCCAACCAACTGTTCCAGGGTTGCTGTAATAAGTGCCTTCTGGTGGACCCCATTTTTATATATATTATTATTTTTTTTTTATTTTTTCTTAAGTTGGAATATATGTCCATTTGATGATCAGTAGAAACTTTTGATAACTGTAATTTTTGATAAAATAATTATTATTATTATAACTATTATTAAAGAACCCTAGCTAAAACCCCACTCACATGAAACGCGTCAGAGTACTGTTAAATTACGAGCCACTCTCTCAGCTCAGCTCAGCTCAGCTGTCCACCGCCGTCAATCCTCCGTCAGAATCCCGCCGTGCACCGCCGGCTGGATTCTTTAACTGCTTTCTTTTCATAGGTGATTCTATCCAATTAGAACTCTCTATTTCGTTTTGTCACATTCAATTGGATTATGGATATATCATTAGGTTAAATTACAATCACCCCTGAGGTATGGTCAAATTACAAAACCCCACTCTTGTTTTAGATAATTACAACAACCCCCTCAGCTCCTCAAATTTAGTAGAATCTTCGAGATTACGCCTCACCACTCCCCTTCCCTTTCTCACGGAAAGCAATCAAAAATGAAAACTCACGATGAGAAAGGCCTCCCGCGTAAACGAAATCTTGCCTTATTCACTGTCGAGTCCTCTTACGCCAAAACAAATGCATTCAAGCCAAGCCCAGGAAGCAGTTTCCCTTCTTTTTTTCCCAAGCGAATGAAAAAGAAGCGATCTAAAGATCAGTCCAATTGAAACCTTCCTCTTGCTATTGCAAAGAGAATTTTCGACCTTCACAGCACCGGGTAATCATCTGCAGTATGTAATATTATCACTTTTGTACCCGTTTTATCTTATTCAAACTTTACATTTTGAAGCAAGACGATCATTATATGTGTTTTTTGGTTTGTATATATATATATCAGATTGTGGTGCATCAGAAACTTTATTTTTAAACAAAACGAGTACAAACTAGAGCATATTCCACGAAATCTAGATGATTATGTTGAATTTAACACCATAAGGGTGGAGGTGTAAGAAAAAATCATAATTGAGGGGTAGATGTAATTATCCAAACAAGAGGGTTTTTTTTGTAAATTAATCATACCTCAGGGGTGTTTGTAATTTACCCTAATTATTATGATAATTAACAATATTATATATATATATAGTGG